GTTTACTTTTAGAAAGTTCTTAAATTGTGCTCCAGAGAGACAAAACTTTCTCTCGCTTTATTTCAAATACATCAAGGGAAAACATCACTGTTCGCTCAGTCCATTCCCCCCCTCCTTTTCTTTTTCGCTTATGCAGTTAGAGGGTTAACCTCCTCGCCTTTTTCGCTGGGTGGGGGGGAAGCGGTTTTAGATCTTTTTCTTTGCATTTTGACAACTCACAGTTAGGCCGATCTTTTCTTTTTCAACTTTTTCGGATGATCGCTTTATCACTCGGTGACGTCTGGTGGCTCCGCTAAACCCCGTAAAACGGGATCGCTCACGCAGCAAGGTCCAAAGGGGCAGGGCATGGCGGGCGCCTCGTCTCCAACCTCTCGGCTGAGAGCGAGACTCCCCCCTCGAGCGCCCTAAAGCGCCCCGGATCCGAGCTCCTCACATCCTGAGGGGCTCGTTCGGGTCTCCGCTCGCGCGGATTCCCTCCTCCACCGCGGGCGGGCGAGACGCCCCTCGGGAGCGACCCAAGGATGTGTCCGCCTTTCGCGGGAGCCAGACCGGAAGCCCAGAATCAGCATCGAGTTTCTGAAGAACGGAGAGCCAGTGGCGAGCCAGGAAAGCAACCATCAGCTTGTCGACGCCGATGTCACTATCGATGGGAAGACCGAGAACGCCGCCGAGGTGGAGCACGAAACCTTGCGCGTGAACCCCAAACCCACAAACTCGAGTGGGGGTTCTGAGCAGATGTTCTCAGGAAGAGAAGATGGGAAGACCTTTGCCGTTTGAGAAGTGTTCCAGCCATGCTATCCTGAACCACGTTTCGTGTGCTGCCCCTACTTCGAAATGACTGCTTCGGAAACGGGGGGGGGGGGGAAATATCGCACCCTCTCTTGCAATTTGAACTTTAGCAGTAATTCCACCTTGCGTTGCTTTTGTTTAACTTCATTTATTAAAATCTTCTGGATTTCACTGGTGAAGGGGAAATATGGTGAAAAGGTGTATGTTTGAATACAGCCACTTCCTTATCTGGCATGCGTACTGCTGTTGTGATCCGCCATGAGCCCACTTGGGGGAGGACGGAATATAAGCTGAAATAAATAAATAAATAAATAAATAAAATGCCTTAAGAATGTAAGAGACGCCAATGTTGGATCAGGCCAAAGGCCCATCCAGTCCAACACTCTGTATCACACAGTGGCCAGAAATACCAGTGCCATCAGGAGGTCCACCAGTGCCATCAGGAGGTCCACCATTAGCGGGCCAGGACATTAGAAGCCCTCCCAATGTTGACCCCCCCAAGCACCAAGATGACAGAGCATCACTTGCCCCAGAGCCCCTATCTATACCTTGTGGCTAATAGCCACTGATGGACCTCTGCCTTCAATCGCATTACAACAGAGTAACAATGTCCTTGATGTTATGCAGTACAAAGTCTATGGAATTTCAGTACTTACTCAAAGGCAACAAAATCCCTCAAAGGCTACAGATGAGGGTACTGTGGTTTGTGAAGTCAAGAATTCAAAAGCCGGGTGCCAAGATCAAAACGTTAACGTTAAGGAATTGTCTTTTAGCCCCGAAGCAGAAAGATCGCTGTGTGTCCTGTGCCCAAATCATAAGCAGACCTATGTAAATTGAGCTGCCTTCGCCAGAATGCTGTCCTAGTTGTTTCCATGTGGCTTGGGGGGGGTGGGGGGTCAGTGATAATGTTGCATACTTGGTGGGGGGTGGTAGATTAAGTTACTGGAGTCTGTGATCTTCAGACCCTGTCCAGGGGGAGAACCCGTGCTCACACTTCCTTATTACTTTACTGGCAAAGAGTTACCTGTGCCTTACAGTAGCTAGCAACCACGCCTGTGGAGTGTGTTTTTTCCCTTAAAGCTGGCTGTCCTGTTAATCATCTGCATATCAAAGCATATCGATGGTGAACCTAAACAGCATGATAAAAAGTAGAGACATCACCCTGCCAACAAAAATCCGCATGGTCAAAGCAATGGTATTCCCAGTAGTCATGTATGGCTGCGAGAGTTGGACTATAAGGAAGGCCGAGCGCCGAAGAATAGATGCTTTTGAACTATGGTGCTGGAGAAGCCTCTTGAGAGTCCCTTGGACTGCAAGAAGATCCAATCAGTCAATCCTCAAAGAAATCAACCCTGACTGTTCCCTGGAAGGCCAGATAATGAAACTGAAGCTCAATACTTTGGCCACCGAATGAGAAGGGAGCACTCACTGGAGAAGACCCTGATGCTGGGAAAGATTAAAGGTCAAAGAAGATGGGGATGGCAAAGGATGAGATGGCTAGACAGTGTCATAGATGCAACAAACATGAAATTGAGCAAACTTCAGAGGACGGCGAAAGACAGGAAGACCTGGCGTGATCTGGTCCATGGGGTCACAAAGAGTCGGACTCGACTGTGCGACTGAACAACAACAACATATCAAAGCTGACACCAGAGCATGTCAATGTGTTAGTTTTTCTTTTTTAGAAACCCAAAGCAGTCTGCATAGCTGGCAATATATGTGTGGGCTGGACAGATCTCAAATTTGTCAGCATTTGAATGCTTAAATCGTGGATCGTTCAATGTTGTGTTGGTGTTAAGAAATAAATTCCCTGACATGGATCGCTCACGCTGGCCTGTTCTCATCACATCTCAGAAGCTGAGCAGGGTCGGCCCTGGATAGTACTTGGATGCAGTGTTCCCTCTAAGCTGAGTTAGTGTGAGCTAGCTCACAGTTTTTTAGCCTCCAGTTTACAGATTTTTGTCTTGGCCCAGGAAGGACGGCTCCAGCGCAAACTAATTGATGCAGCAGCCAAATCGCTCGCTCACAGCTCTAATGCCAGGAGCTCACAAGGTAGAATTTTTGCTCACAAGACTCCACAACTTAGAGGGAGCATTGCTTGGATGGAAGACCATTGAGGAAATCCAGAGTTGCTATGCAGAGGCAGGCAATGGCAAACCCTCTCTGTTGGTCTTTTTGGTGTAGTGGTTAAGTGCGCAGACTCTAATCTGGGAGAACCGGGTTTCATTCCCCACTCCTCCACTTGCACCTGGCTGGATGACCTTGGGCAAGCCGTAGCTCTGATAAGAGCTGTTCTTGAAAAAGAGCAGTTTCTGTCAGAGCTCTCTCAGCCCCGCCTACCTCACAGGGTGTCTGTTGTGGGGAGGGGAAGGGAAAGGAGTTTGTAAGCCGCTCTGAGACACCTTTGGGTAGTGGAAGGCAGGGTATAAATCCAATCTCCTCCTCCTCCTCCTCTTGCCTTGAGAGCCCTGTGAGGGGTCGCCATAAGTCAGCTGTGACTTGGCAGCAAAAAAAAAAGTTTAAAATGGTTGCTCTATTAAACAAAATTGGCATCCCGTAGCTCAGAGCACATTTCAGGAGGCTTTGCTGCGGCGGGCCTCTTGCGATAGTGGAGATGTGTGATGGAGGTGGTGCTTCGGAACCATGTTAAGGTGTCAGGATCCACAGCAACAATGAAGTACACACTTGCAGGAAGGTTTTACTTTATTCGAAGCTATAGATGCATGGACAGGAAAACTGTTAGGAATGAGGGGGGGAGCAATGAACATGGTATGTTATAGTACATTCAAACAACAGAGGCCCAATTGCGAGAGTTCCCGCGCGTGCCATCGGGCCTGGGAGCAAACGCTTCTAGGCGGTACAAGCTATCACCTTCCCACGGTTTTTCGTGAGATCACCCAAGCAACTATCCTGCAGCAGCAGCCACCTGTGGCCTTGAGAGATATAGACGTTCCAGCAGCTAAGCAATTAAGCGCATCAACAGGACTACATATGAAAGCGAAAGCAACCAAGCGCATACATGAAGAAAGGGAAAAAACCATTGGCAGCTTGCTGACATAAGGTCTCCGTGCTGGGGCGGTATCATCTGGGAGTACACGATCTGTGGACAAATGAGGGGAAGGCCATCAGCCTTGAGTCTTATACGTGAGCTCTAATGGGCAATTGCGTGGCTTCCTTGTTGCTGACTGCCGTTGAAAGCAGAACGGTGGACTAAGAAGGAGAAGAAGAGATTGGATTTACACCCGGCCCTTCACTCGGAGTCTCAGAGCGGCTTACAATCTCCTTTCCCTTCCCCTCCCCACAACAGACACCCTGGGAGGTAGGTGGGGCTGAGAGGGCTCTTTCGAGGACTGCTCTTGAGAGAACAGCTCTGAGAGAACGTCTGACTGACCCAAGGTCACACCAGTAGCTGCATGGGGAGGAGTGGGGAATCAGACCCGGTTTTCCCAGATCAGAGTCCGCGCACCTATCACCACTACACGGTTTTTCGTGAGATCACCCAAGCAACTATCCTGCAGCAGCAGCCACCTGTGGCCTTGAGAGATATAGACGTTCCAGCAGCTAAGCAATTAAGCGCATCAACAGGACTACATATGAAAGCGAAAGCAACCAAGCGCATACATGAAGAAAGGGAAAAAACCATTGGCAGCTTGCTGACATAAGGTCTCCGTGCTGGGGCGGTATCATCTGGGAGTACACGATCTGTGGACAAATGAGGGGAAGGCCATCAGCCTTGAGTCTTATACGTGAGCTCTAATGGGCAATTGCGTGGCTTCCTTGTTGCTGACTGCCGTTGAAAGCAGAACGGTGGACTAAGAAGGAGAAGAAGAGATTGGATTTACACCCGGCCCTTCACTCGGAGTCTCAGAGCGGCTTACAATCTCCTTTCCCTTCCCCTCCCCACAACAGACACCCTGGGAGGTAGGTGGGGCTGAGAGGGCTCTTTCGAGGACTGCTCTTGAGAGAACAGCTCTGAGAGAACGTCTGACTGACCCAAGGTCACACCAGTAGCTGCATGGGGAGGAGTGGGGAATCAGACCCGGTTTTCCCAGATCAGAGTCCGCGCACTCTTAACCACTGCACTAAACCAAGTGGACCTGGGTCCCCCTTCAAGCCAGCCCGCTGTTACAAGGGAAGAAACCAAACTGCTCGTTTTTGTCTCAAAAGCCGGCCTTGCTCCTTAAGAATATCCCCTCTCTTTCCTTTTGTAGTGAGTCACCTGGAAATAAGATGTTTCTCCTCTGAAATGATGAAGAGCTGAGCTGATTCTCCGGAGATTCAAACCTGTTGACCTCGGGGGTGCTGATGCAGAGACCAGTAAGTGGCGTTTTCCAGCTGGGATGTGGGGGCAGGTCTGATGTAGCTTGTTTGGGGATTACACAGATGTACACAGGACATCCGAGATCCAAGTCGGGGAGCACCCTAGAGATTAACGAGGTTTTGGGGTATAGGCTTTCCAGAGTGAAAGCCCCCTTTGTCAGAGTTTTGACTCTTGAAAGTTTATACCCTGAAAGTCTTGCTGGTCTCTAAGGTGCTAATTGGACTCAAATCTTGCTTTTCAACTGCAGGTCAACCCTCCTGAAATGATGCATCCTGTTGTCCATGGGGTGCCCTAGTCTTTGTGGGTTTTTCTGTTTCATTTCTCAGAACCCAAACGCACAAAAACAAGCCCAACTGGAAGCGGTGGGAAAGAGACGCGTAAAATAAAAATTGGCGGCGTCCAGCTATACAGGCCGTGCACAAATTTCAGATATTCTGTGCTAAGAAAAAGAAACGTGATCTATTCTTTGAGCTTTCGGGCCATTTAAATAGTTGGTCCCGATATTTGAGATCTGGTTCCCGTGTCAATGTAAGACTCGACCTTGGGCTTCCAGTCCTTCCTCTTTATTTCCACGCAGCTGGTTTAATTCACATCTCTGGTCTCCTGTGATTTTTGTTAGCTGCACTGTTTCCCAGGTCTCTGATAAAACGAAACACTTCTTCTCCCTTTTAGAATTCACGTCGGATCCAGACTTCACTCTTCCACTCCAGTTTGAGTGCATAAGAGAAAGGATTACTGAGCACGCCAATCGTGTGTTGTTGTTGTTTTTGTTTGGTTTTAAAATGTGGTTTTATTTATGCCTTAATTTGTTAGCTGCCTTGGTGGCCCCTGTGAGGGCAGAAAGGCGGGGTATAAATTATGTAAAAGGAAATAAACAATGTCACTGTTTTTTATACGCCACTGCTCAAGGGCAGGTTGTTTTGCTTTGTCTTTGCACAGAGTGAGTAAACTATCCAGTTTTGTGCGGTGCAAAGATGCAATCACCTCTCCCTTAAATTTGGGGATTGTTCCTAATGCAAACCTTCCAGCAGTATACCTCTATCAACTCATAGCTCCAGATTTGCGTAGAGCCATCTCCTTGGCTAGATTTAATGTTCTTCCTTCAGCTATCTTATCTGGCAGATTCCAAGGGATTCCCTATCCTAGCAGGTGCTGTCCTTGCATGAAGGACTGTGTCGAAACTGTCGCCCATGTTCTCCTCCGGTGCCCTCTCTATCTGGCGTCCCGTCGGGATCTTCTATATCCCATATTAGCCCAATTTCTAGAGACCCCTGATGATTTTAAGCTCCTTTTCTTGCTTGATAATCCAGATACAGAAATAACTAAAATAGTAGCAACGTTTCTTTGCAGTGCCATGGTCTCACAGCCTGATAAGTGATACTATGAATTAGGTTTGATTATGATGTTACTCTGCAATTCTAATTTTACTCTGCGCGATTTTGCATGTAGATGACTGTATCTTCATGTATATGCCAATAAAAGGCTTATCTAATAGGAGATGCAATCACCTATCCCCAGGAACGGCTAACTGGGAAGTGGCAAGGCTTGAGCAGCAACTCCTGCAGAGACAGAACAGGCAGCCTCTTCTGAGGATGGCCACATAAGCAGCCATCAGCAGGCTTTGGCTGGGCTTAGTAGCCATGTTTTCAGAGCAGTGCTTGTCCCCAACAGGGAGATGGGCAGGGTTTTGTCTCTTTAACATCACAGTGAATTTGGAAGCGCCAGGGGCACTTTTGAAGAGCAGCACCGAGTGAGGGGCAGTTCCCCTTCTGCATCTCTTGGCTCGGGAGTAACGCTGGAGTTCGTGTCCCACTGAGCTGCTGAGGCATTTGAAAAGCCTCAAGTGCATTCCAATGCAGGGTAACATAAGAACATAAGAGACGCCAAAGGTGGATCAGGCCAAAGGCCCATCCAGTCCAACACTCTGTGTCACACAGTGGCCAGAAATACCAGGGGCCATCAGGAGGTCCACCAGTGGGGCCAGGACACTAGAAGCCCTCCCACTGTTGACCCCCCCAAGCACCAAGAAGACAGAGCATCACTTGCCCCAGAGCCCCTATCTATACCTTGTGGCTAATAGCCACTGATGGACCTCTGCTCCATAGAAGAACATAAGAGACGCCAATGTTGGATCAGGCCAAAGGCCCATCTAGTCCAACACTCTGTGTCACACAGTGGCCAGAAATACCAGGTGCCATCAGGAGGTCCACCAGTGGGGCCAGGACACTAGAAGCCCTCCCACTGTTGACCCCACCCCCAAGCACCAAGAAGACAGAGCATCACTTGCCCCAGAGCCCCTATCTATACCTTGTGGCTAATAGCCACTGATGGACCTCTGCTCCATATGCTTATCTAATTCCCTTTTGAAGCTGTCCATGCTTGTAGCTGCCACCACTTCTTGTGGCAGTGAATTCCTTTTGTTAATCACTCTTTGGGTGAAGAAGTACTTCCTTTTATCCGTTCTAACCCGACCGCTCAGCAGTTTCATGGAGTGCCCACGAGTTTTTGTATTGTGAGAAAGGGAGAAAAGTACCTTTGTACTTTTTTGTATTGTGAGAAAGGGAGAAAAGAAAGGGGTAGCTCCAGCTTTTCTCCCAAGTCAGAGTGAGGCCCACAGCACATTACCATAAAATCATAAGAGTCAGAAGCGGGCGTGCAGCCCATCTAGCCCAACCCCCTGTTCAGTGCAGGATCAGCTTCAAGCATCCCTAATAAGTGTTCATCCAGCCACTGCTGGGAGACTGCCAGTGAAGAGGAGCCCACCAACTCCCTAGGCAGCCGATTCCGTTGCTGAACTACTCTTACTATAAAAAAATTATTCCCTACTATCCAGCTGGTACCTTTAAACCCATTCTTGCGAGTCCTCTCCTCTGCTGCCCTCTCCTCTGCTGCCCTCCTGAAGTACATGGTTTTGCAGGGCATAATGCATTACATAAGAACATAAGAGAAGCCAATGTTGGATCAGGCCAATGGCCCATCCAGTCCAATACTCTGTGTCACACAGTGGCCAGAAAAAGCAGGCGCCATCAGGAGGCCCAGCTGTGGGGCCAGGATACTAGAAGCCCTCCCACTGTTGCCCCCCCCCCGCACCAAGAATACAGAGCATCACTTGCCCCAGCCTGAGAGTTCCTGTCTATACCTTGTGGCTAATAGCCACTGATGGACCTCTGCTCCATATGCTTATCCAATTCCCTCTTGAAGCCCTCCATGCTTGTAGCTGTCACCACCTCCTGTGGCAGTGAATTCCATGTGTTAATCACTCTTTGGGTGAAGAAGTACATCCTTTTATCTGTTCTAACCTGACTGCTCAGCAATTTCATGGAGTGCCCACGAGTCCTTGTCTTGTGAGAAAGGGAGAAAAGTACTTCTTTCTCTACCTGCTCTATCCCATGCATAATCTTGCTAACCTCGATTATGTCACCCCTCAGTCGTCATTTCTCCAAGCTAAAGAGCCCCAAGGGCTTTGACCTTTCTTCATAGTCTGTGCTCAGGATCTCTTGAAGCTTCTAGAGATGCAGGGACACTTGCCTTAGAAAGTGTTGGCAGTACATTCCTGGGCCATTGTATCCAGGAACCAGAAAGTCTGGGAAAGACTGACAGCAGATCCTTAATTGCCGGGTGGGCACCTGTTCCTGTTTCCAAGTACGGTTGTCAGGAGCAAGCTCCTTTGTTGTTGTTTTCCTGTTTCTGCAACTGTCGAATTTCAGGAAGTGGACCATGGATCAGCCCAGTGGGAGGAGTTTCATGCAAGTTCTCTGTGAGAAATACAGCCCCGAAAACTTCCCGTATCGCCGAGGTCCGGGGATGGGAGTGCACGTCCCAGCTACACCTCAGGGTTCGCCTATGAAAGGTATTGTTGTATATGCAGAAGTCTGTCTGTGTCTTCTATCATTCCAGGGCATTCTGCTGAAAAAACTCCTTTCTACCCAGTTGTGTGAAAGCTAAATGTAAAAGACTCCTCTCCGCCCCCGTGCCGTCCCCCCCCCCGACGCTCACATATACTGTCATTTTAAATCCTTGTCAGGTTGATTTGTATCACAACCTTCCCCGAAGAGGGAAAACAAGAAAGTTATTTGGGTGGAAATGACAATAACAGCATTTGACAGAAAGGATCAGGAGTAAGTTGAGTCAGGCAAGGACAAAAAAGCACCATATGTCACTCAGAATTAACCACAACAGAGTCACCTTAACAAAAACTTCCCGGCTACTTTCTCATGCCTTCATTTGAGCAACGAGATCAGATATAAAAAGGATGTTCCACCCGTTTTCCTGGCTGCATCTCTAGAAACGGTGTATTTGAAATAACCTGACATGTGCAGTGGTAGATTGCCCGCTCCTCTGCAGAGTTCTTTCTGGACTTCCCCAGGACATGGAATCGAATTTAACAGTTGCCCTTTTCACATACTCAGTGGTCATGTTGCCGTGCATGTCAAAGTGCCTAACAGAAGGAGGTAAGCCCTTATGACGTCCTCGTATCGTAGACATTATCCTCAAAGCGAGATAACCTCCTTGATCATTCTCCATGAAATTCATGATCCCAGGTGGCCAATGCTCCCTCTAAGCTGTGGAGTCTTGTGAGCAAAAATTCAACTTTGTGAGCTACCGGCATTAAAGTTGTGAGCGAGCCATTTGGCTGCCGCATAAATTATTTTGCTCTGGAGCCCTCCTTCCCGAGCTAAGGCAAAAATGTGTGAGCCGGGGGCTAAAAGACTATGAGCTAGCTCACACAAACTCAGCTTAGAGGGAACACTGCAGGTGGCTGTGCCATCATAAAGGGAGTTGGAAAGCAGTTTGTGTGGCCTTCATGGCACATGCGGGCGAAAGTGCTCCATGAATGCTGGATCGCCAGCATTCCCATCGTATGGCGGGCTCCCATCGTATGCCAGAAACTGAATCCTGACTGCGGCAACAGGCATTTCTGATTGGCTCGTCTCAGTTTGACAAGAGAAGACAAAAACAAGTAAACAGACTCTAGTCCCGCTGCAAGTCTGAAGCTATTGAAGCTGACTACATGTTGGAGACTGGCGTCCGATTTTGTATTGAATTATTCACAGACTGTTCTCAGTGCATGTCAGTATGAGTACGGAAACCACAGCAGCTTAAAGGGAACACCCTGATGAAGGATGAACTTTGAAACGTTGTTATCAAGCATCCGGACACAACATCAAATTATTTAGTAGTTCTCCATTGTTTATACATTGTAGCACATACCAGTTCTCCATTGTTTACATTTTGTACTTTTTCATTGTAGCTGCTTTGTGTACATCATTCTCTATTACATGTTATTCAGCTTTTTTGGCTAGCTGTAATTGTGGAGTCTGTTTACTACACTTGTTTTTGTCTTCTCTTATCATTATACAGTAGCGTAGTGAACATTATTGAATGTCGTCTCAGTTTGAGGCCGTCATGTGCAGACCTCTGAAACACTTCCTCCTTTCCTCTTCCCCTCCCCGGCTCACACACTTGACAGTCCCATAAAGTAAGTTCTCAGGAAGTTCCTCTTCACAGGTTCCCGGTAAGCTTGATTTGAGGTTAGAGTTGCTGAGTGGATGTAGCTGAACTTGACACTGACTGTGAAATGGGGCTTATACTTACATATAGTATTTGAGCAAAGGCAAAAATCTTCAGTATTTTCATATCTGGGCTGTGTTCTTGCCGGTTGGGAGTCATGTAGGATCAGCTTAGTGCTTCCACTGGATATGTCCTCCCAACTTTCTCCTTCTTTTCCTTTGTCCTTCTCTTTGTATTTTTTCCTTTCCCCCTGTTCTCTTTCTCTTTCCAGAACTTAAGAAGAAAAATAATGCCATAGAGTGCACAATCATGGGTGGTTCTTGAGCTATGTATTGAATACCAGCTGACTTTGGGAGATTTCCATTGATTTCTTTTTTCCTTACCCACATGTTTTAAAACATGTGCAAGGAGAAAATGTCCAAAGGCACATATCCGTATGAGGTGGAGTGGCCCCTTGGGGACCAACAAGAAATTCGGGGTATAAGCTTTTGAGAGTCAGATCTCCCTTCATCAGATACAAGTTGGAATGGAGAACTGTGAGTCCTTATATCCCAGTCAGAAGGAGGGAGGGGTGCTACAGAGAAGGGAGTCAGGATGCAGAGGTACAAGCGCACTTTGCAATCAGATGGATCAGAGCAGGGGAGAGATGCTTGTGTGTGTGTAAAGTGGCGTCATATTGCAGCCACATAAGTTGACCCCTGCAAAGGCGTTTCAAGGCAAGTAAGGAACAGAGGTGGTTTGCCTTTGCCTCCCTCTGCAGTGTCTTATAATCCTAGAATCACAGAGTTGGAAGGTGCCATAAGTACCTTCCAGTCCAACCTCCTGCTCAATGCAGGATCAGCCTAGAGCATCCCTGACAAGTGTTTGTCCAGCCTCTACTTAAAGACTGCCAGAGAGGGGGAGCTCACCACCTCTCTATGCAGCTGATTCCCCTGTTGCACAGCTCTTACTGTCAAAAAGTTTTTCCTAATATCCCTCCCGCCTGTAATCTAAACCCATGATTGTGAGTCCTATCCTCTGCTGCCCACAGGAACAGCTCCCTGCCCTCCTCAAAGTGACAGCCCTTCAAAGACTCAAAGCAAGCAATCATGTCCCGTCCCCCCCACACCTCCTCTTCTCCAGACTAAACATTCCCAAGTCCCTCATCCTTTCCTCAATGGGCTTGGTCTCCAGGCCCCCGATCATCCTTGTCGGTCTCCTCTGCACCCGATCCATTCTGTCCACATTGTTTTTTGAAGTGAGGCCTTCCTTGGTGGTCTCCCTTCCAAGTACTGACCCTGTTTACTGCCCAAGATCTTACAAAATCAGGCTATACCATGCTGCCTTCTCTCCACGGAGAAATGCTTGGGGGCAGAAAATTAGCATCTGTAGTGAGATAAAAACCCTATATTTCTGTTCAGCCCTGGGGTGGGGTGTCTGTTGTTCTGAATTAGCAAATAAACTCAAGTTCAGTAATCTACAGATGTTCAGCACTACAGATGCTAATTTTCTCCACTTAAGTATGTCTGCTCTAGTCTCGTTTATTGCAGTGCACATTTGTACCTCTGCATCCTGGATTCTTTCTTTGCAACATACCTCCCACCTGCTGACTGAGATACTAGGGCTCAGATCTCTGTTCCAATTCGTATCTGATTACAGGTGCTTTTGATTCTTAAAAGCTCATACCCCCAAATTTCTTATTGGTCTCTAAGGTGCTAAGGTAAAGGTAAAGGTTCCCTTGCTGGAAAGCCAGTCGAATCCGACTCTAGGGTTGCGATGCTCATCTCCGTTTCAAAGCCGAAGAGCCAGCGCTGTCCGAAGACGTTTCCGTGGTCATGTGGCCGGCATGACTAAACACCAAGGCGCACAGAATGCTGTTACCTTCCCACCGAAACGGTACCTATTTATCTACTTGCAATTTGTTGCTTTCGAACTGCTAGGTTGGCAGGAGCTGGAACTAGAGATGGGAACTCACTCCATCATGCGGCAACTCGGGTCTCGAACTGCTGAACTACTGACCTTCCACAGCCTGCAGTTCAGCGTCTTAACCACTTGAGCCACCGCAGCTCTAAGGTGCTACTGGACTTGAAACTAGCTATTCTACTGCAGACCAGCGTGGCTACCCTCTGAAACTGGCAGTACTAAACAGATGAGTTTATTGTCTTAGCCATAGGCCATAACATAACATAACACGTCAAAGTTGGATAGAAAAAATACATCAGACTATAAAACGATAATGTAAGCAATAAAAATATCAGTATCTTACATTGAATCCTGTTACCCTTTCCACTTTGCATTAAATACTAAACTCATTCTAATTTTTCTTGTTTTTAAGGCAAATACCGCCATTCTACTAGAGGCATAATGATCAAGGTCTGAGAGTAAAAATTTGACCAAATCCAGATGGGAAAGTCCATTACGCGGCGGAATAATGGGGATAATATACTTTAACTTAGGAGCTTCATCCCACAGGCATCTCAGAATATAATGTACTATATCATCTACTTCCCCCAATTTACAAAGACAAATCTGCAGGGGGGGGGGGGGGGGGGATGGAATACCAAAGAAACGTCCAGTCCTGATCATTGAGGGCATGGATTGAAATCTTAAAGCTGTAAAAGCCGATCTTAATTCCAGGGTGGTTAACTTCTCCAAGTAAGGGGACCTACAGTGATCTGTTTTAAAAAAACTTAAATAATGGTGCCATTAGACATCGTGTCATCGCATCCTGATCCATAAGCCCATCCTCTTTGAACACCCTTTCTTTCAGTTCCCGTACTTGGGGGGTGGAAAAACCTGTCAGTATGAGGTGGGAATCGACAGCGAATCAGCAGTCAGTCCTGTGAGGCAGATCGGCTTGGGAATACATGGCACTGCTTGTCCATTGATGGGATCTCTCTTTGTCCTGGTTTTCGCCCAATCCGTCTTTTTCTTTTGCTAGCATAAGGAGGGGTGATATTTGGGTCTGCCGGAATGAGACCAGGCCCACAAATAACATGGTGGCTTCCCTGCTTTTCAGATCGTCTCAACCTCCCGAGTGTGCTGGTGTTGAACAGCTGTGGAATTACCTGCGCCGGGGAGGAGAATGAGATTGCCGCCTTCTGCGCTCACGTGTCCGAACTGGATCTCTCTGACAACAAACTCGAAGACTGGCAGGAGGTAAAAGGGCAGTGTGCGCCCATTGCTGTGGACAGCAGTGAGAACAGCTGCCTTTTGTCGTGGGTAGATCTGTCCGTTCCGAGCAGATTCTAGTGCCAGAGCAGGTCAAATGTCAGATGGTGGTTCCAGGCAGTGTTACATAAGAGAAGCCAATGTTGGATCAGGCCAAAGGCCCATCCAGTCCAACACTCTGTGTCACACAGTGGCCAGAAATACCAGTGCCATCAGGAGGTCCACCAGTGGGGCCGGGACATTAGAAGCCCTCCCACTGTTGACCCCCCCCCCCAAACACCAAGAAGACAGAGCATCACTTGCCCCAGAGCCCCTATCTATACCTTGTGGCTAATAGCCACTGATGGACCTCTGCTCCATAGAAGAACATAAGATGGACCTCTGCTCCATATGCTTATCTAATTCCCTCTTGAAGTCGTCCATGCTTGTAGCCGCCACCACTTCCTGTGGCAGTGAATTCCAAGTGTTAATCACTCTTTGGGTGAAGAAGTAAAATTTAAATTTCGCCATACACACATCCATAAGCAGAGAAAAATCTGTACAATACATGATCACTTATATACACATCCTCCACCAATCAGCTATCAGTGCTGAGTCACTCTGACTTAGACTACCAGCCCTGGCCAGAACCAGTTTGGTCCAGCTGAAGTGGCTGTGTAAAGCTGTCAGGTAGATCATCTAGATCACCAACTGATGTCTTACTTGCAGCCCATGTGGACAATGAAGTGATCACGTTTGTGTGCATGCACACACAGACACACGCTTGCTGTATAAAAAGAGGAGGTCGGAAATGCTTTTTTGTATTTTGAGTTTTGTTGTTGTGATTTTGGTGACTTTTGTTTGTTTGTTTTGTTTTCACAAAGTGAAACCAAAAGGTCAAAGGATGTAGCTCCCTAGCACAGAGTTGGGGTTCTTTTGTGGCCCATATGCAGTCCGCCTTGCATAGCAGTGAGAAAGGCAAACTATAAATAACACACAGAAATGGCACACTAGGTAGTGCTAAGTCTCTGCTGCACCATTCCCCCCCCTTGGAAAAAAACAGGTCTAGTTCATGCCTGCTGTAAAACTACATATGGAGCAGAGGTCGAACAGTGGCTATTGGCCACAAGGTATAGATAGGAACTCTGGGGCAAGTGATGCTTTGTATTCTTGGTGCTGGGGGGTGGGGCAACAGGGGGAGGGCTTCTAGTGTCCTGGCCCCACTGCTGGACCTCCTGATGGCACCTGGTATTTTTGGCCACTGCGTGATGGAGTGTTGGACTGGATGGGCCATTGGCCTCATCCGACATTGGCTTCTCTTATGTTTGTATGTTCTCTAGTTGTTGTAGATTTTCCGGGCTGTCTGGCCTTGGTCTTAGCATTGTAGGACCTGACGTTACGCCAGCAGCTGTGACTGGCATCCACAGAGGTATAACATAGAAAGATGGAGTACTCTCTGTGTCAAGTTGTGCCAGTCACACAGCTGCTGGCGAAATGTCAGGCCCTACAGTGCCAAGACCACGGCCAGACAGCCCGGAAAAATCTACAACAACTAATTAATTCCGGCCACGAAAGCCTTCGTTGTTGTTGTTCAGTCGCACAGTCGAGTCCGACTCTTCGCGACCCCATGGACGAGCTCTCTCCAGGCCTTCCGGTCTTCTGCCGTCCTCTGAAGTTGGCTCAACTTCATGTTCGTTGCATCGATGACACTGTCTAACCATCTCATCCTTTGCCGTCCCCGTCTTCTTTGACCTTCAATCTTTCCCAGCATCAGGGTCTTCTCCAGTGAGTGCTCCCTTCTCATTTGGTGGCCAAAGTATTTGAGCTTCAGTTTCATTATCTAGCCTTCCAGGGAACAGTCAGGGTTGATTTCTTTGAGGATTGACTGATTTGTTCTTCTTGCAGTCCAAGGGACTCTCAAGAGTCTCCTCCAGCACCATAGTTCAAAAGAATCTATTCTTCGGCGCTCGGCCTTCCTTATAGTCCAACTCTCACAGCCATACATGACTACTGGGAATACCATTGCTTTGACCATGCGGACTTTTGTTGGCAGGGTGATGTCTCTACTTTTTATCATGCTGTTTAGGTTCGCCATCGCTTTCCTCCCAAGGAGCAGGCGTCTTTTAATTTCATGGCTGCAGTCACAGTCTGCGGTGATCTGGGATCCCAGGAACGTGAAGTCTGTCACTACTTCCACGACTTCCCCTTCTATTTGCCAAGGAGTGATGGGGCCGGATGCCATGATCTTAGTTTTTTTGATGTTGAGCTTCAAGCCCACTTTTGCGCTCTCCTCTTTTACTCTGAGCAAGAGGCTCTTTAGATCCTTTTCACTTTCAGCCATTAGAGTGGTATCATCTGCATATCTGAGGTTGTTGATCTTTTCCCCAGCAATCTTAATTCCCGCTTGTGATTCATCCAGGCCAGCATTTCGCATGATGTACTCTGCATATATATTAAATAAGCAAGGTGACAGTATACATCCTTGTCGTACTCCTTTTCCTATGCTGAACCAATCAGTTGTTCCGTATCCGGTTCTAACTGTCGCTTCTTGGCCCTTATACAGGTTTCTCAAGAGACATGTGAGGTGGTCTGGTACTCCCATCTCTTTAAGGACCTGCCATAGTTTGTTGTGATCCACACAGTCAAAGGCTTTAGCATAGTCAATGAAGCAGAAGTAGATATTTTTCTGGTACTCTCTTGCTTTCTCCATAATCCAGCGAATGTTGGCAATATGATCTCTCGTTCCTCTACCTCTTCGAAACCCAGCTTGTACTTCTGGTAGTTCTCTATCCACGTACTGTTGAAGCCTAGCTTGTAGGATCTTGAGCATGACCTTGCTAGCGTGTGATATGAGTGCAATTGTGCGATAGTTTGAACATTCCTTGGCATTGCCCTTCTTTGGGATTGGAATGTATACTGATCTTTTCCAATCCTGTGGCCACTGTTGCGTTTTCCAAATTTGCTGGCAAATGGAGTGCAGAACTTTAACAGCATCATCTTCTAAGACTTTGAATAGCTCAGCTGGAATACCATCACCTCCACTAGCTTTGTTGTTAGTAATGCTTTCTAAGGCCCATTTAACTTCACATTCCAGGATGTCTGGCTCAAGGTCAGTGATTATACCGTCGTGTTTGTCAAGGACATTGAGGTCTTTCTTGTATAGTTCTTCTGTGTATTCTTGCCATCTTTTCCTAATCTCTTCTGCTTCTGTTAGGTCCCTACCGTTTTTGTCCTTTATCATGGCCAGCTTTGCATGGAACGCTCCCTTGATTTCTCCAATTTTCTTGAAGAGATCTCTAGTCCTTCCCATTCTATTGTTTTCTTCTATTACTTTGCACTGTTCATTCAGGAAGGCCTCCTTATCTCTCCTTGCTGTTCTCTGGAAATCTGCGTTCAGTTGGGTAAATCTTTCCTTTTCGCCTTTGCCTTTCGCTTTCCTTCTTTCCTCTGCTATTTGTAAAGCCTCATCAGAAAGCCATTTTGCTTTCTTGCATTTCTTTTTCTTTGGTATGGTGGTGATTGCTGCCTCCTGTACGATGTCACGAACCTCTGTCCATAGTTCTTCAGGCACTCTATCTATCAAATCCAGACCCTTGAATCTATTCTTCACCTCTACTGTATATTCATCAGGGATGCGATCTAGGTCAAACCTGAATGGCCTCGTGGTTTTCCCAATTTTCTTCAGTTTAAGTCTGAATTTTGCAATGAGTAGCTCATGATCTGAACCACAGTCAGCTCCAGGTCTTGTTTTTACTGACTGGATAGAGCTTCTCCATCTTTGACTGCAAATTATATAGTCAATCTGATTTCGGTGTTGCCCATCTGGTGATGTCCATGTGTAGAGTCGCCTCTTAGGTTGTTGGAAAAGGGTGTTCGCTATGACCAGTGTGTTCTCTTGACAAAACTCTGTTAACCTTTGCCCTGCTTCATTTTGCTTTCCAAGGCCAAACTTGTCTGTTATTCCAGTTACCTTTTGACTTCCTACTTTAGCATTCCAGTCCCCTATGATGATGAGGACATCATTTTTTGGTGTTAGTTCTAGGAGGTGTTGTAGGTCTTCATAGAACCGGTCCACTTCAGCCTCTTCTGCATCAGTGGTTGGGGCATAGACTTGGATTACTGTGATGTTGAATGGTTTGCCTTGGAATCGGACAGAAATCATTCTGTCATTTTTGAGATTGTATCCCAGTACTGCCTTTTGCACTCTCTTGTTGACTATAAAGGCCACACCATTTTTTCTACGAGATTCCTGGCCACAGTAGTAGATATAATGGTCTTCTGAGTTAAATTCGCCCATTCCTGTCCACTTTAGTTCACTGATTCCTAGGATATCGATGTTCAGTCTTGCCATCTCATTTTTGACCACGTCAAGCTTACCTTGATTCATAGATCTTACATTCCAGGTTCCTATGCAGTATTGTTCTTTGCAGCATCGGACTTTCCTTTCACCATCAGACACATCCACAACTGAGCGTCCTTTCGGCTTTGGCCCAGCCGCTTCACTCTTTCTGGGGTTACTTGTACTTGTCCTCTGCTCTTCCTCAGTAGCATATTGGACACCTTCCGACCTGAGGGGCTCATCTTCCGGCGTCATATCTTTTAGCCTTTTGATACTGTCCATGGGGTTTTCTTGGCAAACATACTGGAGTGGGTTGCCATTTCCTTCTCCAGGTGGATCACGCTTGGTCTGAGTTCTCTGCTGTGGCCTGTCCGTCTTGGGTGGCCCTTCACGGCATAGCCCACAGCTTCATTGAACTGCGCAAGCCCCCTCGCCACGACAAGGCAGTGATCCATGAGGGGGAGCCTTCGACAATGTATTAAAACCATATTTGATAGAAAGACAGGAGCGACTCTCCACAGCTAGGACATTCGGTTCATTTCTGCCAACCACCCACAGTCCATTAGATGGTTGATTAAGAACAACTGGTATAAATTATTTAACAGGTACCTAAAATAAGCTAGACGGCATTCAAGAGGGAAAAGTAAACAAAAAAAAATGGTTTACATTCTTGATTGCTGGGACAACCAACCACTGTTGACCGAGTGCAGCGGCCACCAGTCAGTTACTCTTTTACAGCAAGCGTCGTACAACGAGGGAATCGGCCGCCTAGGGAGGTGGTGCGCTCCCCCTCGCTGGCAGTCTTCAAGCAGCGGCTGGACAAAGACTCGTCAGGGATGCTCTAAGCTGATCCTGCATTAAGCTGTGGAGTCCTGTGAGCAAAAATTCTGCTTTGTGAGCAACTGGCATTAACGTTGCGAGCGAGTGATTTGGCCGCTGCAGAAGTTAGTTTGCTCTGGAGCGCATCCTCCCTGAGCTAAGACAAAATATGTGTGAGCCAGATGCTACAAAACTGTGAGCTAGCTCACACTAACTCAGCTTAGAGGGGACACTGCCTGTAGGGCCCCTTCCAACTCTATGATTCTCATGGGAGTGGATGTGGTTCCAGGTTACCTTATTCAGAGGATTGTTTCTGTGTTACTGGGGTGCTTTCAAGTCCTTTTGCTCAGGTTGGAGGCTGCCAGAATTTTCCCCTAATGAAAAACAAATGGTTTCTCTGGGAGAGACAGAACTCCCAATCCCTGAGTAAACGACGGAGGTCGGGCTGTTGGCACCTCCGTACACCCGCCAAGTAGCACAGTGAGCTCCTTCCCTTGCTCTAGCCCAGCAAGTTTGGAGGGCTTCTGCCCTTGGTGGGGGCTTAAAAAGGTAAAGGTCAAGGTTTCCCTTGCTCGAAAGCCAGTCGAATCTGATTCTAGGGGGCGGTGCTCATCTCCGTTTCCAAGCTGAAGAGCCAGCGCTGTCCGAAGACTTCTCCGTGGTCATGTGGCCGGCATGACTATTACCATCCCACCGAAGTGGCACCTATTTATCTACTTGCAGTTTCTCGCTTTTGAACTGCTAGGTTGGCAGGAGCCGGGGCCAGAGATGGGAGCTCACTCCGTCACGCGGCACTCGGGTCTCGAACTGCCAAACTACAGACCTTCCGGTCTGCAGCTCAGCGTCTCAACCTCTGAGCCACCTGCTTGGGGGCTTACCTATGGGAAATTCCCCATCCTGAGTAGGTGTGGAGATACCAGCATTGGTAATGAGACAGGAAAGCTAGGTCTCCATTCGATCCAGGAGGATTCAGTCCAGGAAGATGCAAATAATAAATGGACATAAGTCTGAATAGAAACCACAGCATTCAGTTGCTGACCTAAGAGTAGCAGTGCTCTTCCAAAATAATGTCAAAAGGGAGGTTAAAAAGAGAGACTGCTGAATTGCAACTGATAATGAAGCTCACAACAATGCATCCTCCAGAACTGAACTGAGAACTAGTTTCCCTGTCTCATTACCAATGTGTGCTATTATCATTTGGCATCTGAAATCACTCCACTCTCCAAGATACAAGGACCAATCTAAGTGTTCTAATTCCCAATCAGGGTCTTTTTGAAAGGAAATAAACTCCAGATAGGAACAGAGAAATCCATTAAAAAAAAAACCTTTTCAGAATAATCCAAAATAATTTCCTCAGTGTAAATTGTGCTTGTCAGAAGAATCCATCCACCCTCTCTCCCACTGAAGAAGTATGCTTACACACAAAAGCTTATCCCTTGAATAAAACAGTTGTTGGTTTTAAAGCTGCCATGGGACTTTGTTCTCTCCCCCCGATTCTTCTCAACAGAGGAGGAGCAGCCCCTAGAAGGGAGCGGAAGCTGTGTGTGTGTGTGAGAGAGAGAGAGAGAGAGAAAGAGAGAGGCTTGTCTTTGTATCTCTCCAGCAGGAAGTAGCTGCTGAGGGAGCTGTGGGGGGGGAGGCAAGAGGCAGGAAGCAGAGAGCCACTGAAGGAGCTGGGGAAAAAACAAGCTACAATGTGGCTGCTGCAGAAGCCCTGAAAAAGGAAGCAGGAGAAGGAAGTAGCTCATGGCCCAGATCTGAGCCCTGAGGGGGCCGGATCCGGCCCATAGGCCATATGTTTGACACCCTTGCCCTAACTGTAGACGCCCACAATCTATGGTAACAGGGATTCTTTAAGACCAATAAAGTTTAATTCTGGGTATAAGCTTTTGTGTGCATGCATGAAGTATGCATGTACGGAAAAGCTTATACCCAGAATTAAACTTTATTGGTCTTATAAAGGTGCCACTGGACTCAAACTTTGTTCTGGCACTTCAGACCAATATGGCTGCCCAGCTAAATTTGAGGTGGTTTGGGTAGTGATTAGATTATCTCACCAGTCTCTGTTAAGCGTTCCCTGTTTCCAGATAAACCAGCAGTGCCATCCTAAGCAGAGTTACCCCCTTCTGTGCCTGCTGGCCTCGATGGATTTAGGAGGACCCAAGTGGTTAAGACGCTGAACTGCAGACCGGAAGGCCGGTAGTTCAGCAGTTCGAGACCCGAATGCCGCAAGACGGAGTGAGCTCCCGTCTCTGGTCCCAGCTCCTGCCAACCTAGCAGTTCGAAAGCAAGAAATTGCAAGTAGATAAATAGGTACCACTTCGGTGGGAAGGAAACAGCGTTCCGTGTGCCTCAGCATCTAGTCATGCCGGCCCCGGCCACATGAGCACGGAAATGTCTTTGGACAGCGCTGGCTCTTTGGCTTGGGAACGGAGATGAGCACTGCATCCCTAGAGTCAGATTTGACTGGCTTTTGAGCAAGGGAAACCTTTACCTTTACCTAACTCTGCTTGGGGTTGCCCTACAAGTCTGCAGTGTTGTTAAACCCGTGTTGCCCAGTTGGTGAAATTACAATACGGGCGTGTTCACTTATCTGTTTCGGTAACGAATCGCGCTTTTAGCTCTTAGTTTATTCCGAGAAGTTGAGTTTCATCTTTATAGTTCTTTGCCATCCCAGAAGGGCAAGTCGTAAATATTTTGAATCAATGGTGGCATTCTGTTTGCTGACGGGCCTGTATGTTTTTCAAACCGAGACTACAAGTCGGGTTAGGAACTTGTGTTCTTTATATATATAAATCAAACCCAAAAAATCCATACAAAGAATCAAAACTCTCCGCTAGCCAAGGGGCTTGATGCTTTCAAAATCACGGGAAGATGAATCGCCTCGAGTTAAGGCAGCCCTTAAAAAAATGTTGGCTTCCGATACGGTTTTATTTCTCCTCAAGCTGCCATTCAGGGGGGGGGGGGTGTTCCTCGTGAAGGCTGCCAACAATCAGCATTTTTCCTTATCAAGCCTTTCCCCTCCCCATGTAATTAAATGAAGCATTGAGGTGAACAAGCAATTAGCCAATCAATCTAGATCAGCAAATAGCTGCAGTATGAATTACAGATAGCTATCTCGAATGTTGTTAGAATCCATATCATTCTCCGACTCAACGAGCCGTGCTGGAAACCCTGGCTGCATTTTTTTGTATCCCCCCCCCCCCAGATGACAGAATATTACTTGAGATCTGATTGCCGCCTGATAACGCTTTTCTTTCTCATTTTCTTCTTCCTTTTCCCTCCCAGGTCAGTAAAATCGTGTCAAACGTCCCCCACCTGGAATTTCTAAACCTCAGTTCCAACCCTCTGAATTTGTCGGTTTTAGAAAGGACATGTGCTGGGTCTTTCGCTGGCGTTCGCAAACTCGTGCTCAACAACAGCAAAGCTTCCTGGGAAACAGTCCACACAATACTGCAAGAGTTACCAGGGTAAGCTCGGGGTGGGCGGCAGGTCCCTGTTGCGTGCCAACGACATCAGGGGTGCCCCAATGTGGTGACCCCCAACCAATGTTCCCTCTAAGCGATGGAGCTCTGTGAGCAAAAATTCTACTCTGTGAGCTACTGGCATTAACATATTGAGCAGGAGATTTGGCTGCTGCATAAATTAGTTTGCTCTGGAGCCCTCCTTCCTGAGCTAAGACAAAAATGTGTGAGCCGGAGGCTAAAAACCTGTGAGCTAGCTCACACTAACTCAGCTTAGAGGGAACACTGCCCCCAACACCTTTCCCAGCACCCTCCAAGTGATTTTAGAAAGTGAGCAGAGCCATGAGGGGCTATCACCCCGCAAGGCTTCAGATTGGCCACTGGAGATTTATTTATTTTTAATTTTAAACATTGCTTGGGCAGCAACTGCCCCCGCAGCCCCTATGTCGGAGACGGATGAGGGAGTTACTCTTGAGAGAGATGGCTTGTCTAAAGTTACCCAGCGAGTTTGTGGCTGCGCTGGGACCTGAACTGTGGACTCTCTCACTTGTAATTCAGTCTCTTAGCCGCTGATGACCTTGTATCCCCTACGTTCACCTTAGTTTGAAGTGAGAGGATTCAGGCTACCCCCGGGCCATGCTATTTCCGAGTCTGTGATAACGCCGAACCGATCGGGGGGCTCCTGCGGAGCTCCTGTGCGCAATCTTCTAAATTTACACGAGTTTGTCAAGTTGACAGATGAGGGCGATAGCTCGGTATCGGTGCCGGGGGCCGTCTTCTGGCTCAGCTATCGACGCGAAACGCTCGGCTAATGGAGATGTTGGCTTTTGAACGAGACTAAATGGGAGGGGGGCCGCAGGGAGGACCTGGCCGCCCACCGCCAGTTAAAGGCTTCCTTGCATTTTTATTCGATATTGGCCGTAAAGTTTCTGGACGGGCTCCAACTTGGCAGCAGCTTTCTGCCTCCTTTCACCTCTCCCTGGCATGTTTCTACATTCATTGAGTTGTGGTGGGGGAGGTCTGCCATGGGGCAGCATTCCAATAGGAAGAGAATCCTCGCTTACAACAGGATGGGGAAAGGTCTTGGCTGAACCCTTATTCCTACAATATGCAGAGAATAGTCACAAGAATGGGCACAGTAATAAGACCAATGAAAAAAGAAAAAAGAACTGTGACAATTTAGCGCTTGGTACTATATTCATAAATCGTAATATACAATAACAGAAAATAAGTAATATATATAGTGAATGTAGACGGTGGTCTCCAGAATGGTGTGCCGTTTCGACAATGATCGTCTTCTGAACAAGGATGTGTACGCAAACTGTCTTTCAACAATTCATTTCTCTTGGTTCTCTTCAATGGGCAATTATAGCCCATTGAAGAACATAGCTGTAAGCATATCTTTATGATGAAGTGAATCAACAGTGTATTTTCAATACGTCACCAAGAGAAATGGACCTCTGCTGTTTAAACAATGTTGCTTTGGCAGCATCTACCACCACAGCACAAGGATCTTCACTATGTGATTTGAGGGTAAGCTGCGGCAGCCGTTTTCTGGCGGCTGTTTTGTGGCTGTGCCCACCCGTGCCATGTCAGAATTCCAAAGGTGCCTGCAGGCTATACAAAGTCGAGGACTGCTAGTCTACTGGAAGCAGTAGTAGCACTTCAAGGTCTCAAGCAGAGAAAGGTCCTTTCCCGTCTCCTGCAAACTGGAGTGACCAGTGCTAAATCTGAGATGATTCCATACGCAAAGCTGGTGTTTTACCGTGAGCAGTGTTCCCTCTAAGCTGAGTTTGTGTGAGCTAGCTCACAGTTTTTAGCCTCCGGCTCACACATCTTTGTCTCCGCTCAGAAAGGATGGCTCCAGAGCAAACTGATTTCTGCAGTAGCCAAATCACTCGCTCACAACTTTAATGCCCGTAGCTCACAAGTTTTTGCTCACAAGACTCCACAGTTTAGAGGGAGTATTTACCTTGAGCTGCAGTAACCCATCTTTAACCCTCCTGACTTCACACCTGTTAGCTAAAGGGGTACAGGCTGGAGGGGGGGGGGTCCCTACTTATCCAAAGGATAAGTATCTGAAGGGCCATCTTCTCCCCTGTGTTCCTGCCCGGGAATTACGATCACAGGGAGCAGCCTTCCTGACTGTCCCGTCAATCAAAGATGCTAATTTGGAGTACACATGAGAGAGGGCCTTTTTGGTGGCTGCCCCACAGTTATGGAACAACCTCGCCAGGGCGGTGCGCCTGGCCCCTCATTTTCGATCTTCAGGAGGCAATCGAAGACAGTTTTATTTAGAAGCAGTTTTATTTTGAAGCATGGACGGCTTCAAAAGGGAAGTAGATAAGCATATGGAGCAGAGGTCCATCAGTGGCTATTAGCCACAAGATATAGATAGGGACTCTGGGGCAAGTGATGCTCTGTCATCTTGGTGCTTGGGGGGGGGGTCAACAGTGGGAGGGCTTCTAATGTCCTGGCCCCACTGCTGGACCTCCTGATGGCACTGGTATTTCTGGCCACTGTGGGATACAGAGTGTTGGACTGGATGGGCCTTTGGCCTGATCCAACATTGGCATCTCTTATGTTCTTATGTAACCGTTTGGTTAAGATTACTTGCAGTCCTGAGCAATGCTCCCTCTAAGCTGTGGAGTCCTGTGAGCAAAAATTCTACTTTGTGAGCTACGGGCATTAAAGTTGCGAGCGAGCGATTTGGCTGCTGCATAAATTAGTTTGCGCTGGTGCCATCCCTTCCTGAGCGAAGACAAAAATGTGTGAGCCGGAGGCTAAAAAACAGTGAGCTAGCTCACACTCACTCAGCTTAGAGGGAACACTGGTCCTGAGATATGATTTTCGATTTTTATTTTGTTGTATTTTATTTTATGTGTTTTATCTACATTGCCAGCTATCTTTAGCTCCGTACAGAAGGCAGCCACTGGATGTTTTAAATAAAAAAAATACTTGTCCGTGTAAACTGTCCCCTTTCATCCTAAAAGTCTAGGTCCTAAGAGGTTTTTGAACCATTTTCTCCCCGCAGCTTGGAGGAACTCTTTCTGTGCCTTAACGACTACAAAACAGTGTCTTGTTCCCCGGTGTGCTGTCACTCTCTCAAGTTGCTCCACATCACTGACAATGATCTCAAAGACTGGCCCGAGATTCGGAAATTGGGGGTCATGTTTCCGTCGCTGGACACGCTCGTCTTGGCCAACAACTACCTGACGACCATCGAGGACTCGGAAGATTCTCTCGGCCGCCTGTTCCCAAACTTGCGCTCCATCAGCCTGCACAAGTCAGGTGAGGTACCGCTGAATGAAGCGTGTCTGGAAACCTAAACGGGCTGGATATTGCAGATCTGTTCTGGTAGTGGAGGAGTTTTTCTCCACCAGCCTTTCCCTGATGCAAAGGGGAGACTGTTTCCACCAGAGGAAAGCGCTTCTGCTGTCGAAACGGACCCGTGAGATCCAACCTATTCCTAGGAGTTTCCCCGTGACATCAGAGTTGGTCATCACCTTTACACTGTAACAGGGCTGGTGCCTCTCTTTTAAAAATGGACTTCATTGGTTCCTCCTCAAACCAAACCTCACCCTTTATTGCTTCACGGGCCAGTTTTTTCTGGGCCTGTCGTTGTTGCCCTTTCCTGGGAATGAACTTAACTGATTTGTGGAAGGTAATTCCGTTTCATATTGATGTATTAGGCCTGTCAGTGTTGTTCATGGGTTGTTTTTGGCCGGGTGGGATCGGAGATCGGTTAGCTGCCAGCCATTTAACTCTTCCTGGGCAATTCTGCAGGCCGCAGCTGGGAGAAAGGGGGATCCGAACTGGCCAGTTTGGTTCAGGGCGTTTTTGGCTTGGTTCGGTTCGGGGGCTGCCCTGAACCGAACCAGAATTTTCAGGTTCGTGCCCATTCCTAAGCAATAGTTCCTGCCGTTGCGTGTGTGTGTGAGGTGCAATCAAGCTGCTTCTGACCAATGGTGACCCTACAAACTAATGACTTCTAAAAGCTCTGATCATGAACAGCTGTGCTCAGGTCTTGCAGACTGAGGACCGTGGCTTCCTTGATTGAGTAATCCATCTCATGTTGGGTCTTCCTCTTTTCCCATTTCCTTCAACTTTTCCTAGCATGACTTTTCCAGTGACTCGTGTCTTCTCATGATGTGACCAAAGTACGATAGCCTCAGTTTAGTCGTTTTAGCTTCTGGGGAGAGTTCAGGCTTGATTTGATCTAGAACCCACTTCTCTGTCTTTTTGGCAGTCTCTGGTATCCATAAAACTCTCCTCCAGCACCACAATTCAAGTGTATCAACTTTCTTCATTGTCCAACTTTCAAACCCATACATAGTGATGGGGAAATACTATGGCATGACCTACCTTGATCTTGGTTGCCCGCGATACACTTAAGTACCTCTTCTAGCTCCTTCATGGCTACCCTGCTGTCAGTCTCCTGGTCAAGTTACTCTCAACAACACTCTCTTCGGCAGTGATATGTTTATTGAGATATATGCAAGATCTGAATCAGAACAATGGTGCGTTAGAACTGGTGACTTTGGCGCTCACCTGACCAGATATAGGTAATTCAAACAAAGCCCCTTTTCCCATCCCCCAATCACACGTCATACTTCCGACCTGGTCGTCGCCATCCCAAGCTAATTAAGAGATATATGGTTCCGTTATCTACTAGCTCGAGCTGGCACCGAAAGTCTCAAGAACCAAGGACATTCCTCTGGGAGAGAGGAAGGTATATCTTCATGAACTGTTACAGCATCTACAAGCGAAATATTCCCACTCACACCCCTCCCCTCAGAAATGTCCCCCCACCACCACAAGCATGGCAAACTGAGCAAAGCAAAGCGTAGTGAGGTTTGACACCTGCCCAGTCTCAATCTCCTTCTGATTTCTTGGTTGCAGTCTCCCTTTGGGTTGATGATGGAGCCAAGGAATAGAAAATCCCTGCTGTTAAGTAGAGTGAACTGACTTAAAGCATGTAAACACAGGAAGCTGCCCTATATCGATCCAGACCACTGGTCTGCCATCTTCAGTTAGTGGAGATAAAGTGGAATATAAGTATTTTTAAAAAATAAAATCTAGTTCAGTACAACAAATGTATTGATATGGGGGAGTCAACTATTGGACTGGTGGTTTTACTGCCACACGAGGTGCCATTTTGGATTTTCTCCCTCTGGCACCCAAGTCTATCAGGCTACCAGTCACGGGGAGTTCTTTATAACATCTGCATGTGAGCTGGTGGGTGCACTGTCCTCTCTGCTTCCCCTGTGCTCTTACAGTCCTGAAACTTGTTCGGTTTTCCTAGCATGTTGCTTGATGCTTGCCACTTCCTTTCTTTAAAGCAGGTCTGCAAAGCTGGGAGGACATTGACAAGCTCAATTCTTTCCCCAAGCTCGAAGAAGTGCGATTGTTGGGTATCCCTCTCCTTCAGCCATACACCAATGAGGAGCGCAGGAAGCTCGTCATAGCCAGGTCTGGAGATACCTCTCTCTCTCTCTCTCTCTCTCTCTCTCTCTCTCTCTCTCTCTCTCTCTCTCTCTCTCTCTCTTTTGGGGGGCTTAAATTTAAGACGCTCAATTTTGCTGGTGTGAGAATGTCCATATCCTGAAGACACCTCTACAGGGCAGGCTCCATGTTGTGGGAGGGTCTTTAGTTTGGAAGGTCCTCAACAAGATGGCCCTTCCTAGCTTCCCTCCTTCTTTTTGCCCTTCATTGCAGTGGGCTTGCGTGCACCGTTTGCCGGCCTGTCCCCTGTCTGCACAAGGGGATTCTCAGGTGCCACGTCTCCCTTTCCCTCATGTCCAAACTCTATACCCAGAGTTCCTTGTTTAAGTTGGGTGGTGTCACGGCTCAGGTTGGGTGTCTCCTGACGCTGCCACCACTCTGGTTCCAGGCTCCCTTGAGAAGGCCCAGAGCACCCTCCCAAGACTTTCAGACTTCCCTTTTGGCTGAATAACAGGCGCGAGGACCAGGCAGAGTGAAACAAGGAAAAGGTTTATTTTATATGAGGTCAAAAAACTAGGTGCAGAATAATAACAGTAAGTGGGTGAAAAGAAAAGAAATCAAATACCCTAACGCGTCTAAATATATACTGTCCCTAGCTCACTATTCTAAGTGGCACTAGACTACTCACCCTTCCCTCAGGATGAGGGTTTCTTCCTGCAGCAGCCTTCCTTTTGGCTCTGCCCTCTGGAAGAAAGAACAGCTTCTGCTCTGGCACCAGATCTTTTATTCCAAGCCCTCCTCTTTTCCTATTGGTCAATTTTGGCTCCAAAACCTCTCAGGGGCTTCTGGGAGTTTTGGCCCAGCCTCACCTACTGCTTGCCAGGCCCCTGGGCCTAGTAGGCCTCTGGTGGCACAGCCCAGATCATGATAGGTGGGTTTGTTTGACATTTCTTATATGCCTGGTTTGTATTGCAAGGTTTGGGGGGAGGGTTTTTTTTGCAAAATTCAGAGGGATACGAGGTAACAGTTAGATATGGCAATAGCTGGAGAGCAAAGTCTGTAGAGTAGTTTGATGTTTGAGAGGAAGGTAATAGCTTTTAATGGTTCTACTTTGATGGTGTAGGAATATGCAAGCATTTGATTAATTGCAGGAAGGTTCGATGGGGTTAAGGGAGAGCTGGTTTATTTTCAGATATGTAGGGGAAAACCAGGTTGCTCCAACTTCAGTCGCTGTGCATAAATGGTGGTCTAATTGCATAACCTAAATCATGCGTGATCCGTCGGCCAGTGGGGAATCTGACTGTCATAATGACTCAAATCCAAGAGTATCTATTAAAACGAGACTCTTAAAAAATTGCAGCACAGATATAATTATGTTGTAAAGAGGCACAATTAAGTTAATAAATTATGGCATTAAAAAGCATTTATGCGATGCAACGTCTACGCGGTATCTTTATGAAATCAAGTCAGTAACAGGAAGACACTCTCGGAAGACCCCATGAAGCCATCTGAAATTTCCTGCTTGCCCGGCCCGCCAGTATTTCCCCCATATTGTCGTTTCCAGGGCAAGTCATTTACCTGTAGCTAACCTACTTAGCTGACGAAGTGATGGTATTAACAGGACCTGGAGGAAGATTATACACATCTGTATATTATTATTCTTTATTAAACTTTTATACCCTTCTCCTCGCACGGCATGCTCAGAGTTTTACATCAAGGCATAAAAACAATCCATTAATCTAAATAGATAAAATACAGAAATCTTAAAACAACAGGTGAGATATATAAAGCCCTCTACGGCCAGGGGCCAGCATACCTTCGAGACGGCCTCTCCCCACATGAGCCCCGTAGAGCACTAAGGTCAACTAATCAACATCTTTTGGAAGTCCCCGGGCCCAGGGAGGTCCGACTTGCCTCGAAGAGGGCCTTTTCGACCCTGGCCCCTACATGGTGGAACGAGCTCCCAAGTGAGATCAGGGCCCTGCAGGATTTACTGCAATTCCGCAGGGCCTGTAGGACGGAGCTCTTCCACCAGGCTTTCGGTTGAGGTGGCGGGTGCCCCCTCTTTGTGGCCGGCCCCACCGTGGCCTGGACCCTAACGTCTTAAAATCTTCCAGCACTGTTGACACAGTTCTATCAGAGCTGGCATGGTACTTAGGAGTACGGCATTCTATACAGTCGTTTTAATTTGGCTTTAACCGTGTTGTATTTTACATTGTTGTTACCCGCCCTGAGCCCGCCCGCGGGGAGGGCAGGATATAAATCCAAATAAAATAAATAAATTAAACCTAAAACCTATGGCGTCATAGTACAGTCTTAGCCCCCGATGGCGGGGAGGGGGAGGCAGCTAATTGGGCAAACCGTTGCAGTCCTCAACCCTATGCTTTGCGAAGCATCTCTGCCTTACGGGCCCTGTTGTAACAAGTCCTGCAGGGCCCTGATGTCGTTTGGCAGAGAGTTCCACCAAGTCGGAGGCGGGGCCGAGAAAGCCCCGGCTCAGGTCGAGGACAGCCGGTCGCTCTTTGGGCCCAGGACTTCCAGCAGAGGTTGTTCTCCTGAGCAGAACGCTCCGGGGGACGCACTAAAAGAGACGGTCCCGTAGGTGCATTGGTCCCTGACTGTTTAGGGCTCAAAAGGTCAGAACCAAAACCTTGGACCTGACCCGGTACTCAATCTGGAGCCGGTGCAGCTGGCGAAGCGCAGGTTGACTATGTGCAGTTAACGGTGCAACGTGTAATGAGCCTTAGCACTTAAGTTAATTGCATTTATGTAGTATGTAAAACTAGCCTTCAATGGGACTGCAGGCAAATACTAGCAGTTTAAATGATTGCTGGGTCAGTCGGATGACAACCAGTGTTGTGTAGTGGTTAGAATTGGGGGCGGACCAGGTTCAAATTTCCACTCCTCCGTGAAGGCAGCCATCGCTAGTCAACGTGTCTAAGCCAGGGGGCCCCAATGTAGTGACCATGGGCTCCGTAGCGCCTGCCGACACCTTACCTGGTGCCCGCGAAGTGTTTTTGGAAACGAGGCGGAGCCAGATGGGGCTTTCACCCAGCAAGGCTTCTGGTTGGCCGTCACAGATTTGATTGGCAATGCCAGTTTTTTAAAAACATTGCTTCGCTGGCAGCTGGCACCACAGCACAAGGATCTTCACTGTGTGTGACTGAAGGGAGGCTGTGGCAGCCATTTTGTAGCCGGCTTCACCTCATGCAGCCGCTATTTTTTGGAAGCCGTTTTGTGGCTGCGGCTAGTATGCTGTGTCAGAATTCCAAAGGTCTTCTCAGGCTCAAAAAGGTCAGGGGCCCCATCCAGAGTCTTTCAGGGTGGTTTTTGGGGATACAGTGGAGGAGGAGAAAGCCCACAGCTCCTTTGGAAACAGGACAGAACCTAAGTGGAATAGGTTAGTGTTCTGTAGCTTCAAGCCTCATCTTTGTCCATCCACGGACTTGCCAACAGACTTGCTCTGGCTGCAGAAGGCTAGTAGGCCCCGTCGGTCCCTACCGGGGCAGGTCACATGGTCGCACGTCATACTTGTGGGATTTCTAGCCGCACTCATCCAGAGCCGCTATTTAACACGGCAATATTTATGAAGCGCTACCAAAAGCCAATGAAACGAGAGGGGTTTCAAGAGCCGAGAGAGGTATTTATATTCAAATTGCTGTACATGGTTTTTAATCAAATTCCTTCTACAAGGAAGCGGTATGAAATTTGCTTTCCTTTTCAAGAGCTGCATTTTGGGTTATCTGATCCCATGGGAACATCTCATGGGAATAGAATTCTCATCATTTTTGCTGATCGCTGCTAAGTTTGGGGGGATTTTAAAAAAAACCTTATTACAGTTACAGTTCTCTTCCCCCCCCTCCTTTCTCACTCCTCTGCATACGCACAGATTACCATCAATAACTAAACTGAACGGGAGCGTCATTGCAGAAGGAGAACGGGAGGACTCGGAGAGGTTTTTCATTCGTTACTACTTGGACTTTCCGCAGGAGGAGGTCCCTTTCAGGTGAGATCCCCTGACTCGGAACTCTGAAAACAGGTACTTGGTTTTTCCAAGATATGGCTTTGACTGGTGAGGCACACTGACCGAGGGCCGCAGTACACAATATGCTTGACATGAGTCAGGTCAAGGGTGCCTGACCCAACAATCAGTCACTGTAATGATTCCATTTTTGGTGTGTGTGTTTCTTTAAATGTTTAGTAATGTTAGGAGAGTGATAGAGAGAGATACGTGTGATGTGATTGGCTGATGATGGGAGGAGAGATGTCTCTGAGGGGATTCAGTGTTCATGAAGAGACGAGTGTGGAGAGTGGGTGTGAGAGTCTGTATGACAGAGGAAGCAGTTGGAGTTTAGTTTAGCCTGTGTGGCTGTGAGAGAGAAAGTTCAGCCTATGTGGCTATATGAGCAAGAGAGTAGCCTGTGTGGCTATATATGAGCAGGAGAGTTCAGCCTGTGTGGCTATATATATGAGAGAGAGATAAGCATGTCAGAGTTGAGTTTTGGTGTATGAGAGACTGTGTGTGACGCCAAGCCTATTTTCTTTCTTCAACAACAGTTCAAAAAATACCCAGAAACCTATTTTGTTCTTTAATAAATGAATCATTATTTGTTTAAACTTATCCCAGCAATCAGAACAGTCCGTCCTCAGGGCCACATAGTCCTCTGAAGCCCCCAGACCCCTGGGTCATTCTACCAAAAAAGAGAGATTTGGAATTTTTCATTCCTGGTGGCAGCAGGAACCTACTAAGTTCATGTGTGGTTCAAAGGAGAAACAGTCTCCCCAATAAGCGAGGACGTCATGGTCACACATACATGCAGGGTCTAAGCTTTCAAAGCCGCTCAACAGCTCTGAGCAGCGCCACTGCAAGGGGGGAGTAGGGGTTTCAGGCTTCACCCACACGCTGTTTTTGCCAGTCAAAACAGCGGGGGACAGGGCATCTGCCACTTCCTTTGGAGCCATGTGTCCTGATGTCCCGCCTCCCCTTAGCCGTTTGGAGCCACGTGGAGCAACTGAAAAGTTTCTGAAGGTTAGTCCCCGCCTATGTGTGTGACTCAGGGTCCGGCCAGGGACCTGGGAGCCGACTCATGCCACGCATAATGTGTGTTTTTGGCCCTGAGAGACACATCTGTGATCTGGGAAGCTCGGCTAGGGTTTTCAGGTTACCGCCCCCCCCTGCAACCAGCAGGGGGTGGGGGGACTTACGGGCAGTGAAGAGAGGCCTAGTCCGGTGTTACCATTGCTTCCGGTGCACACCAGAAGCAATGCTTCCTCTAAGCTTGTTGTGAGCAAAAGTTCTACTTTGTGAGCTACCGGCATTAAAGTTATGAGCGAGCGATTCTGTAGCTGCATCAATTAGTTTGCTCTAGAGCCCTCCCTTCCTGAGTGGAGGCAACAATGTGTGAGCCGGAGGCTAAAAAAACTGTGAGCTGGCTCACACTCACTCAGCTTAGAGGGGGCACTGACCAAAAGTGCCATCATCGCTGTGCTGGCGGCGCAGAGATGCTCTGAGCCAAGACTCCAGGGCAGAAACCTTTTTATTTTTTTTTAAAGTAGAGTTTTTGCCCCAATACCATCACGTCCCACATTGCCAATGATGTGATGACGTCACTTCCAGTGTGCAGGAAGTGACATCAGTGCATTGTCACCAGCACCAACCTAGGCCTCCCGTTGTGCTGCCATTAAGTTCCTCCACCAGCCGGCTGATTGGTGGGGGGAGGGGCCTCAGGGGGGATCTCCCCACCCCCCCGGCAGGGGCCTGGAAACGCTGGCCACAGCCCTCCCCTACTTGGAATGTTCTGTGGAACAAATGGGCAAGCACTGGATTTTTAAAATGAATTTTATTTTTATTTTTTTGGTATCTTTCGGATGCCGTCATTTCCTCTGAGCTTCTTTTCCTGCGAGTTAGCCTTTTGGTAGCTTTCTGAATCACCACCAGTGTTCCCTCTAAGCTGAGTTAGTGTGAGCTAGCTCACAGTTTTTTAGCCTCCAGCTCACACATTTCTGTCTCGGCTCAGGAAGGAGGGCTCTAGAGCAAACTGATTTATGCAGTAGCCAAATCGCTCGCTCACAACTTTAATGCCAGCAGCTCACAAAGTAGAATTTTTGCTCACAAGACTGCGCGGCTTAGAGGGAACATTGATTCACCATCTGGCATCCTGCCTCAAAGTACTTGGGGGAATTATTGAGCTTGGGGGGGGGGCACAGATCAGGGATTTTGATCACCACATTCCACCCCTGCTGCTGGGGTCCTCGCCAGTACTCCCCCTCTAAGCTGTGAAGACTTGTGAGCAAAAATTCTGCTTTGTGAGCTACCGGCATTAAAGTTGCGAGCGAGCGATTGGGCTACTGGATAAATTAGTTTGCTCGGTGCGTTAATGCTCCCTCTAAGCTGTGGAGTCTTGTGAGCAGATATCCTACTTTGGGAGCTGCTGGCATTAGAGTTGTGAGCGAACGATTTGGCTACTGCATAACGTAGTTTGCTTCTGGAGCCATCCTTCCTGAGCCGAGACAAAAAAGTCTGAGCCGGAGGCTAAACGACTGTGAGCTGGCTCACACTCACTCAGCTTAGAGGGAACACTGGTCCTCGCCTCTTGAACCGCCGCAACTCACGATCCCATTCCAGAAGAACACAACCCGGAGGCTGGCTCGATTAAGGCCATTCCAAAAGCTGGGAGCAAAAGGTGCCCCTTGTCAGTTCTCAGAAGCCGAGAAAGAACTTGGTTCGCTTTACATTTGTCTTTGTTTTTCTCCGACACGATGAGGAGAATCCATTCTGGGAGCCATCGTTTCGACAAGTTGGATTGACCCTGAGAGCTGGCATGTCACTCCGTCAGGCCTCTCCGACTCTCTCAGATTTTAGCTCCACCTCTTTGATAAGATGTTCCGGGATGTGGTAAATCAAGAGGTGTTCAATGATGTGGCAAAAAAGATTTAAAAAACAAACAAACCACCTTTGATGACCCCCCCTCATGCAGAGCTTGGACGAGTTTAACTACAGACCTGTTCATTCAGACTTCAGTAGTAGTATTGTTGTTGTTGTTGTTTTTCTTGTTGTTATTATTAATAATAATAATTAAATTTCTGAATCTCCCAATCCCTGAGTACACAGAGCTGTGGGCGATTTAAGGTAAAGGTAAAGGTTTCCTTGCTCGAAAGCCAGTCGAGTCCGACTCTAGGGTTGCGGTGCTCATCTCCGTTTCCAAGCCGAAGAGCCAGCGCTGTCCAAAGACGTTTCCGTGGTCATCTGGCCGGCATGACTAAACACCAAGGCGCACGGAACGCTGTTACCTTCCCACCGAAGTGGTCCCTATTTATCTACTTACAATTTCTTGCTTTCGAACTGCTAGGTTGGCAGGAGCTGGAACTAGAGACGGGAGCTCACTCCGTCATGAGGCACCCGGGTCTCGAACTACTGACCTTCCACAGCCTGCAGTTCAGCGTCTTAACCAATTGAGCTACCGCAGCTCAATTTACAACAGGCTAAAAACATACAAATATATACAGTAAAAACGGCAGATCAGTTATTCTTAATCCGATAGTCTCCAGATGGCATCCAGAATGTAATCTAAAACCTACTCTGGATTGTTCTTCTATCCCGTGGGCCGGTTAAGGAGGAGACCAAAGCAGGCGGACAGTAAGACAGTAGCTGTTATCCCAAAGCAGCACTGGTGGGATGTGCCCTATATACAGGAGGGAAGTCTCTGGTTCGGGGGGGGGGCACTCCAGCTGCACTCAAACGCTATGAGAAAGTCTGGTTTGCTCAAATCCCAATTAAGTATTACACCTGAATGCAGTCGGTCCCACAATCCAGGATTTGTTCGCCGGCGCGAAACCAGGATTCCAAGCTAGGATTTATTGCTGGCCCCTTAGCCAGAGTTTGTACTAACTGTGTTGGCCTTCTGTCCTGTGTCTCTGTGTTAGTTCTATCTGGTAGAGGTAGACCAACAACCTTGGAGCGCAAGCCGTGGTTTAAGCCGCCTCGGTTTAGCCTGCTGTCGCAATGCAGCCCAAAGGCTTTGCTCGGAGCTCTCGGCCGCCTGGCGAGAAGCGGCCGGCAGAGTTCTTTGCGGGCCACTTGGCGCTGGGCTCTTTTTGTAGGAGGTACTCATTTGCATATTAAGCGGCACACCCCTAATGTAGCCAATCCCCCAAGAGCTTACAGTAGCCCCTGTAAGAAGAGCGCTGTAAGCTCTTGGAGGATTGGCTGCATTAGGGGTGTGTGGCCTAACATGCAAAGGAGTTCCTGCTACAAAAAGAGCCCTTTCCAAATTCAGCTCTGAGGATTAGGTGGGATGATTTTTTTGAAAAAAACAACAACAACGATGGTCGCTGGAAATCCAGGACACTGAAACGTTCCCACGACGGAGCTTGCCGACGTAATGAACCGATCGGCCCTTGTGTAGCGAGCTTCGGGGGAGAGGCGGGAATCGCACTTCTGCTTATGCCGACTCCTGTATGCAGACAGTCGTCCTCCCCACCTCCGCGCCGGTGTCTGCTAGCAAAGGCGTCTGCGCCCTTCAGCAACAGGTGTTAATCTTTTGCTTTGGCACCCATGCTAAGTGGCTAATCCTTTGGCCATCTGCTGCTAGAGAGGGTGCACGTTGGGATAAAAGCTCCCCCCCATCTCTCTTTTTGTCTGTGCGAAACCGCGAGTGGCAGGGATTGATGTGCCAAAGCCCAACCATCTTCGGCCGTCATTGCCATTTGCTTTTCTCGTCCACGGAGGAGTTAGAAAACGAAAAAAAAAGGTCAGCCAAGTTTCGAGCCAGTGGTTAGAACGCATAGCTGGTTGCACTCCACCCTGCCCCACAACCCTCCTTTTACATGGAGATGCCAGGAATTGAACCTAAGTCCTTCAGCAGGCCAAGCAGAGGATCTAGCACTGCACCATGGGCCCCTCCCCAGGTCAAAGGGCAAGAGTGGTTTCCTAAGAGGATGCCTTCAGTCACCTCTCTGAACAGCCAGCTAAGGGAGTGAGGCTCTGTATTCTTGGCGCTTGGGCTC